CAACATAATCATAACAACAACAGCAACAACAAGAATGATACTGACTCATGAACTCCCACTCTGCCAGACATCAACTAGGGGCTTTATATCTAACTGTATTAATCAGGGTTCTTTCTGTTTTGAGTGGTCAAAAACCCAAATCAAACAGGTATGTGCAAAAAAGGAAATGAACGCCCGTGTAATTTTAAAGTTCCATGGGTCCAGCTTCAGGCACAGTTGGATCCAGGGACTCAAAAGATGTCACCAGGACTTTGTAACAAAATCTCTTGCCTCTGATTTGCTCTGAGAATGAGACTGTCCATTGTCTCCCTAAATCCATTCACATTCTTCTATGATAATGGAAACACTGATTTTTAGCTGGCTACCCAGAGTAAAAACCACATTTCCAGTCTCCCTTGCAGCAAAATGTGGTCATATGACAAAGTCTTAGCCAATGAGATGTAAAGGGAAAGTATATGGGTAAATTCCAGGCTCTGCCCTTGAAGAGAAGGGTTGTGTCCTCTCCTCCCTTTTCCGCCTCCTGGTGGTTAGAATGAAGACGTGGGGTAGATCATCTTGGAGTAGGTGGTTCATACCCTCTGAATAACTGAGCCATAAACTGGAAGGAGTGTGGCCCTCTGAGACCACGGAGAAGCCATATTGTATTGCTGCTACTTGGATTGTTACAAAAGAGAGAACTAAATGCCTATCTTATTTAAGCCATTACGTTATGATTTGAGTCTCTATTACAGTAGCCAAAAGAACATGTAAATGACTACTGCCCCACTCCAAGGCAGCCTCACCCTCGTTGGGGCAGTGCCAGGCTTACATCCCACCAGCTCCACCTTCCCATGCAAGGAAAATCCCTTCATCCCATCAGCTCCAGCAAAAGTCCCAGAGCAGATGCTGACTGGACCGGCGTGTCTTGTAACCACCCCTGAGCCAATCACTGTGTTCAGAGGAATGTGATATGTTCATTGGTCAGGCCTGGGTCCTGTGCTCATTCTGTCAGCTGGCAGAGACATTTCAAATCACAGGAATGGAGTCTGGGAGGGCATGTAAATAGAAATTACATTTGCTGTTACTAGGAAAAGGGAGAATTCTGGTGAACATGCAAAAAAAACAAAAAACAAAAAAACAATCCCTAGGGTTCTAAACATTGTCCCTGGAACAATAATGGGGGATGCCCAGGCATTGTCTGGAGTGGGAGAGGAACTAGAAGAATCTAGTTATCATGTAGGGCCTCATGAAGAACAGTTAAGCACACAGCATGCTACTTTACAGGATTTTTTTTTTTTCTCTAAGTATTAAGACCAATCGGGACTTCCCTGGTGGCACAGTGGTTAAGAATCCGCCTGCCAATGCAGGGGACATGGGTTTGAGCCCTGGTCTGGGAAGATCCCACATGCCGCGGAGCAACTAAGCCCGTGCGCCACAACTACTGAACCTGCGTGCTGCAACTACTGAAGCCCGCGCGCCTAGAACCCGTGCTCCACAACAAGAGAAACCACCACAATGAGAAGCCCGTGCACCGCAGCGAAGAGCAGCCCTCACTCGCTGCAACTAGAGAAAGCCTGCGTGCAGCAACGAAGACCCAACGCAGCCAAAAATATAATAATAATGAAAAATAAATATAAAATTTTTTTAAGTTTTAATTAAAAAAAAGACCAACCATATGTAAGTAACAGCATCCTTCTTAAGTTAGCTTAAGCAAATAATTGCTATCCTTACTGAGTGCTTACAATGCACCAGGCATGTTCTCAGAAGTTGACATAATCTATCTCATAATCCTCACAACAGCCTTATGTGGGGGCGGGGAGGGGTGCACTATTATCATGCCCATTTTATACATGAAAAACTGAGACTAGGAAGGGTTAAGTAACTTTTCCAAGGTGGCATGGTAAGTGGCAAGGTTGAGGTTCAAACATGAATGGCCTGCAATACATCAGAACACATGCACTTACCAACAGGGCTAGTTTGCCTCTCACAATCACAGTTTAGTTTCTCTCCCTCTCTCTCCCTCTTTCTCTCTCTCTCTCCCTCTCTCTCACACACACACTCAAACCAAATGCCAATTTCCGGAGGAAGAGATTCTCATGGACTTCTGTTTTCTTTTTGTTTGTTTGTTTCTTGTCCACACTGCCCAGCTTGTGGGATCTGAGTTTCCCTACCAGCAACAGAACCCATACCGCCTGCAGGGGAAGCATGGAATTCTAACTACTCGACCACCAGGGAATTCCCCGACTTCTGTTTTTAAAAGTGCAGGACAGGACTTCCCTGGTGGTTCAGTAGTCAAGAATCTGCCTGTCAATGCAGGGGACACAGGTTTGAGCCCTGGACCGGGAAGATTCCACGTGCCGCGGGGCAACTAAGCCCCCAAGCCATAACTACTGAGCCCAAATGGCACAGCTACTGAAGCCTGCGCGCCTAGAGCCCAGTGCTCCGCAACTAGAGAAGCCACCACAATGAGAAGCCCACACACCGCAATGAAGAGTAGCCCCCACTCGCCGCATGCCGCAGAGCCTGCGCGCATCAACAAGACCCAACACAGCCAAAAATACATAAATAAATTTATTTTTTTTAAAAGTGCAGAAGTACTCAGGAACAGCTCTATCCAGTGGCTAACACAAAGTCAACTGTTTCTCTACATCTCTCAGCTTGGTTTTTCACTAATCTTTTACTCCACAAATATTTCCTGACCTCCTACTGTATGGCAGGCCCTGTTCTAGGTACTGGGATGCAGAAATGAACAAAACGGACTAGTAAAGGTGGTGAATCAATAACAAAGCATCAAATACGTATTAGATATAATAAGTACAGGGAATGCAAAATGCTGCTACTGCTACTACTACTACTGCTACTACTAAGCCGTTTAAGGGCTGATGGGGAGTGTGGGGCTAGAGGGTTGCTATTTTATTTATTTATTTGTTTGTTTGTTTGTTTTTACTTTTGGCTGTGTTGGGTCTTTGTTGCTGCATGCGGGCTTTCTTTACTTGCGGTAAGCGGGGTCTACTCTTCATTGCGGTGTGCAGGCTTCGCATTGCAGTGGCTTCTCTTGTTGCAGAGCACGGGCTCTAGGCGCATGGGCTTCAGTAGTTGTGGCACGTGGGCTCAGTAGTTGTGCCTCGCGGGCTCTAGAGCGCAGGCTCAGTAGTTGTGGCGCACGGGCTTAGTTGCTCCGCGGCATGCGGGATCTTCCCCGACCAGGAATCGAACCCGTGTCCCCTGCCTTGGCAGGCAGATTCTTATGCACTGCACCACCAGGGAAGCCCGAGGGTTGCTATTTTAAATACGGTGAGCAAGGAGGGCTTCATTGAGGAGGTGACATTCAGGCAGAGGCCTGAGTAAAGTGAAGGAGTGAGCCCCATGTCTAGTTAGAGGAAGAGTCTACGGGTGGAGGTAACAGACAGTTCAGAAGCCCACATTAGCTTCATTATCAGGCAATTTTTTCCCTCCTAATGGCAAAGATGTCTCTGGCTAGTCATCTGCTCACCTCATCATCCAACAGAAAGCGGCACCCCATTTCCCAGTAACTCCAGGAAAAGTCCCATGATGGAAGCTCACTGGATCCCTTTCGGTCACATGCCCTCCCTGAACCAATCACTGTGCTCCAGGGAATGGAGCGCGCGCGCGCGCGCGCTCTCTCTCTCTCTCTCTCTCTCGCTCTCTTTTTTTTTTTTTTTTGCGATACGCGGCCTCTCACTGTTGTGGCCTCTCCCGTTGCGGAGCACAGGTTCCGGACGCGCAGGCTCAGCGGCCATGGCTCACGGGCCCAGCCGCTCCGCGGCATGTGGGATCTTCCCGGACCGGGGCACGAACCCGTGTCGCCTGCATCGGCAGGCGGACTCTCAACCACTGCGCCACCAGGGAAGCCCTCTCTTTTTTTAATTAATAAATTTATTTATTTATGGGTCTTCGTTGCTGGGAGCGGGCTTTCTCTAGTTAAGGCAAGCGGGGGCTACTCTTTGTTGCAGTGGGCAGGCTTCTCATTGCGGTGGCTTCTCTTGTTGTGGAGCACGGGCTCTAGGCGCGTGAGCTTCGGTAGTTGTGGCACACGGGCTCAGTAGCTGTGGTCACGGGCTTTAGAGCGCAGGTTCAGTAGTTGTGGCGCACGGGCTTAGTTGCTCCGCGGCATATGGGATCTTCCCAGACCAGGGCTCGAACCTGTGTTTCCTGCACTGGCAGGCGGATTCTTAACCACTGCGCCACCAGGGAGCTCTCTGGCTAATCTGGGGCAGGCTGCCGCAATGAGGTAGGTATCAGCACCACCCCCTCCGCCTTCCGCAGGCATGTACCTCTGTGGGGAGGGTGTTTACCCCAGTTAAAGCTCAGCCCAGGTGAAAAGCTTTTATAGTTTGTTCTATACTTTCCAGATTATTAAAAGAACTGCACACTCCTTGTAAAATAAAATCCCAATAGTATTGAAATGTAAGCAGAAAACAAAAAGCAAAAAAATCACACATGAAACCTCACACTCCAGAATATATGTAATCTTACAAATGCAGGCTCTTTCGCACATACTGCCCGGCAGCACTGCCCAACGCTGTGCAAACACTCAACCGCTACTCACTATTACGATGATTATTTTCCTACCCAGACTGGGAAGGGATGTTGATTAGCATGATCATATCAGTAGCTTACATTTTTGGAATGTTTGCTATGTGCCAAGTCGGATTTTACAGATGAAAAGGCTGAAGTTCAGATAAGGTAAGTCACCTGTTCAGGGTCACACAGCAAGAAAGTGGGTCCTACGCAGAAACCAGAGCTGCTCCCGCCAGCCCCCCACCCCATCCCCCAAGGGGCCCCCAGGCCCTGGAGGGCCTCTGCCCTCTCTAGCCAGGCCCTAGCAGGGCGGCTGCCTTCCTCTTATCTCAGCCCAGGCTGCCTGCTGGTCCCGCCCCCTCGGGGGAGCTGCCACTTGGAGGCGCCTGGCCGGGAAGGCCTGGTCAGCTGTGTCCGGCGGAGGCAGCTGCTGACCCAGCTGTGGACTGTGCCTGGGGCGGAGGAAGGGGGGGGGCAGGAGCCCTGGGCCTCCCGTGGCAGGGGCTGCATCATGTATCATCTCGGGGCACCCCTCTGGCCTGGAGTTGGCTTCCTCTGTCTCCTACTCGCTGGGGCAACCTGGGCTCCCCCACCCAACCCACCGGATCCCAAGTTTGAAAGGAAAGGTAAGGGTGGAGCTGAGTGTGGACCCCCGCACTAGGTCCTGGAGGGCAATGCTGGGGCCTGAACTTCCAGCCTGGGTCCTGGGGGCTATGCCAGGTTCTGAACCCGTCTGTGTCCTGGAGCCCCAGCTGGTGTCTGAACCCTAGACTGGGACCTGATACGGCATACTGCGGGTCTGTATCCCCAGACTGCGTCTGCGGGAGAAGCTAGAGAGGGGCGTAAGAGTCCTGTTTTATCTTCTCAAGGAGTCTGACACATGCTAAACACTAAATGGGGCGGGGGTGGTGCTGGTTCTAGGCCCTGTAGTCTAGGGTCCCCAAGGGGAGGGGACCTAGCCGACCCTCCAGTGGGGGAGGGAGGCTAAAACCAGGGTCCGAGTCAGAGGGGCCGGGCCGCAGGCGTCTGTAAACACTGTTTGCATGCGGGCGCCATATCCCTGGGTCCGCGGGGTTGAGGGAGCGGGGGCGGGGGGCACGGTTGGCGCTATCGGGCAGCCGGGAGCCTGCCGGGGCTGATAGGGGACCCCGCCTCCTGCACACACACACTCACCCTCACGCACGTCCTGGGCTGGGGCGGGGCCGGCAGCGGGAGGCGGAGGCCTTGAATGCTGCGCTCAGCTCAGCCGGTCGCGGGGTGGGCGGGCGTGTGTGGGGAGACAATAAGACATTCAACCTACGCATGGGAGTTCGGGGGGCAGCACTTCTGCAGACCCCTCGAAGGGCCCCGCTGGGGTAGACAGAGGGGCGGGGCATTTTTCTTATCGGTCCGCACAGGCGGCAGGAGGGAGGGGAGGATGCTGTGGCCCGAGGACGGGGCTCGGGTCTCCTGACCCCCTCCCCTGGCGCCCATCCCCAGCGGCCCTGCTGACAGCCCGCGAGCCTGAAGAGTTTCTGTGCTTCACCGAGAGGTTGGAGGATTTGGTGTGTTTCTGGGAGGAAGCGGCAAGCGCCGGGATCGGCCCGGACAACTACAGCTTCTCCTACCAGCTCGAGTGAGTCCGACGGGGCAAGTGGAGCGCCCCACAGGTGGAGGGGGCGGGCGGGCCGAGCAGCGCTCCCCGGAGCTCGCACCTTGGGACTTCTGGTGCCAGGGGCCGGATGGCACCTCCGCTGGTAGTCACTACTGGGAAGCCCACGGGGTCAGGGCCGACACGCTGCCTAGTGGTCGGGGCTGGAACACTCCCGTGATCACTGCTGGAGTGCGACCGCAAACTTCAGGGCTGGGACAACACCGCTCCAAAGCAGGACTAAGGCGTCGCGTACGTCGGGGCTGGGACGCTCCCTGGTGGTAGTGTCCAGAACACACCCTCGGTCCCGGCAATGCCTCCCAACTTGCTCCCTACCTTCGCTGGTTCCTGGGCGAACAGGGGTGAGCCGTGGAAGCCGTGCCGCCTGCATCAGGCGCCCACCACCCGCGGCTTGGTGCGTTTCTGGTGCTCGCTGCCTACAGCCGACACGTCGAGCTTCGTGCCCCTAGAGCTGCGCGTCACTGCGGCCTCCTCGGGCTCTTCACGCTACCGCCGTATCATCCACATCAACGAAGTGGGTAAGAGCGCTGGGAACGGGAGAGTGGTCGGGAGGAAGTCCCAGTCTCCGCCCACCTGAGCAACCCCTCTCCACAGTGCTCCTAGACCCTCCCGCTGGGCTGCTGGCGCGGCGGGCAGACGAGGGCGGCCATGTGGTATTGCGCTGGCTCCCACCGCCTGGGGCACCCATGGCAAGCCTCATTCGCTATGAGATGAACATCTCGGCAGAGAACGCCGCTGGTGGCGCGCAGAGGGTGAGGCTCGCTCCTACGGCCTAGCCCCAAGGGCTCCAGAGTCGACAGGCCCTCTAGGTCCCACCCAGACGGTCACCACGGCCCCGCCCCTCCACCTCCCGCCCAAGACAGCTCCACGTCCACCGACTTGTCCCCTTTCCCAATGTCCCCTTTCCCCAGCCAACCTGGACTCAATCCCACTAAACCCTTGTCCCAAACCCTAGACTTCTTCAGGGCCCGCCCCCTCTGTGCTCTGGCCCCGCAGTTAAATAGCCCGAGCCCGCCCTTTTCTACCTGGGGCCCCATCTTGATTGGCCCCGACCCTTCCTGGGCCCCGCCTCCTGCTTTCATTGCCCGCCTCCCCATGCTTGGGCTCAGTTCTTCCTTTCTCTGATTGGCTCGGTCCCTCAGGGCCCACCCTCACATGCCCTCCTTTGCCCGCACCGCCCCTATTGGCGATACCTCTCACCTGGGCCCCGCCTCCAGGTGGAGATCCTCGACGGCCGCACTGAGTGCGTGCTGAGCAACCTGCGGGGCGGAACGCGCTACACCTTCAAGGTACGCGCGCGTATGGCCGAGCCGAGCTTCGGTGGCTTCTGGAGCGCCTGGTCCGAGCCTGTGTCGCTGCTGACGGCTAGTGGTGAGGCCCCAGGCAGGGGTGTAGAAGGGGCTGGGCGGAGCATGGGGCAAGCTCACCGCCCTGACCTCCTCCCTGCTCCCCAGACTTGGACCCCCTCATCCTGACGCTCTCCCTCGTCCTCGTGCTCATTCTGCTGCTGCTGGCCGTGCTAACCCTGCTCTCCCACCGCCGGTGAGCGCCCCACTCGGCACCTGACTCAGATTCCTCCCCACCAACGTTCTCCTTTCCCTGTGGGAACCTAGGCTCAAAGAGGGGCAGGCACTTGCCCAGGGTCACACAATGAGGAGTCAGTGGCAGGACTGGGATGCAAGCCAGGTCAGACGCAGACTCTTACTTAAAATTCTCTGCTCTTGGGCATACTTTCACCTGGTTTTCCTCCTACCTCAGTGGCTGCCCCTTGTTGGATTCCTTTGTACTTTTCCCCAATTTCATCAGCTTCTGTAAAATCAACCAGATGGGCTTACTGAAACGATTTAACCCCAAGTGCCTCCCACCCCTGTTGTCAAGCTCCTTAGATGCTTTACGATATGACCAGCCATCCTGAGGTTTTTGTAATTCCAAGTACAAACCATGTGTTTTCACACCCCCAAGGCTTGGCACATACTGTTCCTTCTGCCAGGAACGTCCTTCTTGCCATGTCTGCCAAGCAATCTCCTCGTTGTCTTTCAAGGCCCTGTTCATTTACTTGGTTGGAAAATACATACAGAATGCCAACTGTGTGCTAGGCACTGGGGAGAAAGTGTAGAACAAACCAGACGCATCACTGACCTTGTGGATCTCATAGCTGAGTCACACAACAAATAAGGGAATCAACATACATTTGATTATAAATCGTGATGAGTGATATCACAGAAATTAATGGGGGTGGGGCCATGACAAGATAGTCAGGGAAGGCCTCTGGGAGGTGACATCAGAGCAGAAACCTGAAGTCTGGTAGGAGGCAGCCGCATGAAAAGCAGGGAGAAAAACCAGCAAGTGCAAAGGCCCTGTGGTGGGAATGAGCTTGGAACATTGAAGCAGCTGCAAGAAGAGCTGTATGGTTAGAGAAGAGTGTGTAAGGGGGTAAGTGGTGGATGATGAGATGAAGGAGGTGCCAGAGGTCAGACCATGCAGGGTCTTCTGCAGGGCTGTGGGGAGGAATCGGGACTTTATTCTGAATGCATTGAGGAACTATGGAAAGGAGTGAGGAAGGGAAGTAACAATGGACCTTCAGACAAGACTGGGTGGGTTTTAGACGGAGCATATTGAACTCCTATGCATCCTTCAAAACTTTGTTCCAGTTGCCCTTCTGTAGAGCCTGGCAGATGCTTTGGCCGAGCCCCTGTTCCTCAGCCCCACACACTCCTATGCCTTCATCACGATCACAAGGGGCTAGGAGTACCTTTGCCCTGTGACTGGTGCTGAGGGGGTGCTGGTGACTGGTCACTGACACATGCCCAGGTATTCGTTTCTTTTGGCTTCACTAGGACTCTGAAGCAGAAGATATGGCCTGGCATCCCAAGCCCCGAGAGCGAGTTTGAGGGCCTCTTCACCACCCACAAGGGTAACTTCCAGGTAGGTGGCCTGGTTGTCCCCTCAGGGCCTGGGGTTTCCCTGCTCCTGTGGCCGAATCCCCGGTCTCTGAGCAGGCTGCTGCTGTCTCCCCAGCTGTGGCTGTACCAAACTGATGGCTGTCTGTGGTGGAGCCCCTGCACCCCCTTCACAGAGGACCCACCTGCCCCCCTGGAGGTCCTCTCTGAGCGCTGCTGGGGGGTGACACAGGCAGTGGAGCCAGGGGCAGATGATGAGGGGCCCCTGTTGGAGCCGGTGGGCAGCGAGCATGCCCAAGACAGCTACCTGGTGCTGGACAAGTGCTTGCTGCCCCGGAGCCCACCCAGCGAGGACCTCCCACAGCCTGGTGGCGATTTGGACATAGCAGCCATGGATGAAGCCTCGGAAGCATTCTCCTGCTCATGCACTTTGGCCCTGAAGCCTGTGCCAGAGGGGGCCTCGGCTGCCAGCTTTGAGTACACCATCCTGGATCCCAGCTCCCAGCTCTTGCGCCCGAGGGCACTTCCCCCTGAGTTGCCCCCTACCCCACCCCACCTAAAGTACCTCTACCTCGTGGTGTCTGACTCTGGCATCTCAACTGACTACAGCTCTGGGGGTTCCCAGGAAGCCCAGCGGGGCTCATCCAATGGCCCCTACTCCAACCCTTATGAGAACAGCCTCATCCCAGCCCCCGAGCCTTCACCCCCGAGCTACGTGGCCTGCTCCTAGGACTCCAGCCCTCAGATGCACGGGGACCCAGAATGACCTCAAGTGCTACTCCAGGCCCAAGATTTATCCGGCAGGGTCAGTGAGGCCTGCTGACCTTGGCTTTCTGCTCAATTCATCCTGGTCAGAAAGTCACAACCTTGCAGTATTTTTAAATGTACAGTCTTTTGTGTAGATATATAAATATAGATAAGTTTTCTGTCACGGCTTCTATAAATACCTCTAAGCCCCATCTTTTCCCTGGGCCCAGGCCATAGGAGAAGCAGGAAAAGGCCTTGAGTTCAGTCTGAAATTCTGACCTGGCAATCTGAATAATAATAGTAAAATGAATCAGTTAGTATGTTATGCTAGCTGCCCTAACAAAGCTGCCCTGAAACTGAGTGGCTGAACACATTAAATATTTTCTCTCTCATTTCTCAATTCAAACAGGTGGGCAGCTATCCCTGGGATGAGTCAGAAGCCCAGACTGTAACTTTAATATCCCCCAGGGCTACCCTGGGGTCTTTAGATGGTTCCTCTGCATCCTGCCAGCCAACACGAGAGAGACAGCAGAAGATTCTGTGGCCTTTAGGGACCTAGCCTAGAGGTGGGCGCCATCTCTTCTTCACAAATTCTACCGGTCAGAAATGGTCATGTGACCCTAGCGAGAACCATGGACAGCTGGGAAATGTAGTTTAGCTGTGCACCCAAGAGAGAAAAGCTGTTTAATGAGCTGCTAGCTAGTCTCTGCCACTAATAATAATACCAATGACATTCATTCCTAGGGCTTTATTCTGAATCAGGCCCTGTCCTAAGACAGCACTCTGATGACACCAAATGTCATCAAGTGGCTCAATGGGAGTTCTGGGTTAACCACTTTTAAATAGTTTGACATAACCTAGGAAAGCTGAACGTATGCATATCTTCTACTCCAGCAATGCCACTTCTAGGTATGTACCCTAAAAACCCTCACACACATGAACCAGGATATGTGTACAAGAGTGTTAATAGCAGTAAATAAGTCAATCTGATGAGTAAATTGGGGTATAGTCACCCAAGGAATTATACAAAGTATGGAAAAAGGAATGAATGAAAAAATGTGGCTGAATGTTTTCTGTATTTTGGCTGCGCTGCATGGCATGTGGGATCTTAGTTCCCAGACCAGGGATCAAACCCGTGTCCCATGCACTGGAAGCATGGAGTTTTAACCACTGGACTGCCAGGGAAGTCCCACGGCCGAATCTTAGTAACAATGTTGAGCGGGAGAAGAAGGAAGTCCCAGATTACATTTATCATGAAACTCTTTACAAAGTTCAAAACAGCAAAGTTAAACAATATGTTGACAATATGTACAGGATAATGCTATATTTATGAGAGAAAAAGCACTTTATAATCTTTAGGTCTCTGAATTTGCATCTGTCCCTGAGGTAGGTATTCCAGCCATGGAAACTGAAGCATAGAGAGGTTGTCACACTCCAAACCTCAAGGTTGGCCTCCAGAGCTTGAACCCTTGTGCAAGCTGGTGTCACCAGCCTGCGTGGGCCACGGGGTGACTGTCATCTCTCCATCTTGTCGGAAAGTCACCCGCCACTCTGCCCTGGCACCCAGCCCACCTGGCTCCAGGCAGGCTCGGAGGCAGTGCTGTCCTGGGCCTGGTGCATCGGGCTGCAGCCAGCACTGGGCAGGGAAATACCTCTGAAGCAGTGCCAACTGCAGGGCAGTCGCACTGTCTCCCTCCTCCTGGGTCTGGAGGGCCACAATGAGCCCACAGCCCCGGCCAGACCCAACCCGGTGGCTGAAGTGGGCAGCTGTGTCCAGAAGCAGGGCGGCCAGGTAGGCGGCTTCCTGGGACCCGGGGTCTTCCGTTAGGTACTCCTCCAGGCCATCGAGCAGCAGGAGGGAAGGGGCTGGCCCCCGCGTCTCATGGACAGAGCACAGGAGCCGGAGGAGCTCACGGGTTGAGGGTGGGTACTGGAAGCGGATCTTCTAGAGAGAGGAAAAAAGGAAACGGCCAGATTCATCACAGGAAGCCAGGCTCTCAGCTATAGCATCCCTGCTTCCTTGCATACTTTCCTGGACGTGGTTCTCACTCCCCAGACCGCTGGTTCCAGAGTGAAGCAGCTAGCTCAGAGTGGTCGAATATTCTTCTGTTCGCCACGCCCGCCCACCCCGTTTTATTTTTTGTTTTTCTAATTCTGCACTCATCACTTCCCGGTATTAGTTAAGAACAAGGTATATCGTTTTGTCAAATCTCTAGGGCAATCTTTCCACGGAAAACCTGCCCATAACGTCCGACCCCAGCATTGACTCCAGCGACCCAGAAACTCTTTCCAGACCCGACCATGTTTAGCCCCGCCCCCTACTCGCCCCGGACTCCCGTCTTTGGGCGCCACCCTTTGCTAATTCCGCCCCCTCATTGGATGGTTTCTCACTCAATCTTAACAAAGCTTCGCATAGTCCCACCCCCAACTCGTTCCAGACTCCGTCCCATAATGCCTGCTCCGGCTTGCCCTCCCTTCGTCTCCGCCATTGGCCTGTCTCTGCCTGTCACTCAATCGTCCATCCGCCTCGCTACTGGCTGGTTCACCTCTGGTCCCGCTCCGCCCCACCTGTAACCGCAAGGGTTCGAGCGCAGCTCCAATCCGGCGAGGCAGGCTTTGCAGAGGCCTCCGAGTCAGGAAGAGGACAGGGCCTCGGCCTTCCCCTGCCGCCTCCAGGGCCGCCGCGAATAGCAGCGCTGTCTTTCCAGAGCCGTGACCGCCGAGCAGCAGCAAAGGCGGTTCGGCCTCAGCTGTGTCCTCCTCCCCGGGGCCAGCCGCGCCGCCCGAGTTTAGCACCCGCCTCAGCGTCTCCGCCATTCGCAGCGTACCTCTGTCCAATCGGCGGCCCGTTCCTGTCCTTGATCCCGCCCAGGACGGGGTCGCATTGGTTACAGTGCACTTAGCTTCTCCATTGGTCCAGTGATCTGTTCATCAAAGCTAGATCGACGTTTCCTAGCTCCTCCCCCGGTGAAGGGGCAAATAACCTAGTCTGAGGAAGGAATGGAGGCCTTTGAGGGAGATAAGGCCCTTCCCTGGGTGAGTCCGCTGGCGGAAGCAGCATGAATACTATTATTCTGAGCTAATAAGCTAATCAGACAATACAAGGGTTGAGAGTTGGAGGGAGTAGGCCCTAATCACTGACACATTACTTAAAGTCTCCTAGCCTCAGTTTGCTCACCTGTAAAATGGAGCACATGGTATCTCAGAGGAATACTGTGATGCGTATGTGTGTGTTTCTGCTGATGTTACCCAGTGACAATGAAGAAGGGGAGAGATGGAGGAGCTATGTGCTTGTGTCTCTCTCTGTACCTGAGTACTTGCACAAATGGGGGCGGGGGCTGCAGGCTTGAGGACATTCGTCTGCAAAACATCCGTCAGACAGCAAAGCAGCTGTCTTTGAGGGTCTATAAGAAGAAGAGTCTCAGCTGGCCTCCTCGTTGGCCTGGGGGCTTCTGGAGTCCTGCTTGGGGTACAATGGGAGGCAGGACCATAGAATAAAAAATGGGCCAGGAGAGAAGAGGCAAAGATGAAGGGGCTGGGAGACTGAGGGAGAGCCACAGCACGACCTTGTTTGTCACGTTCACTTCGGTATCTCCAGTGCCCGGTCAGTGCCTAGGGCATTGCAGATTCTCAATACAGTTTCGTTAAAGGAATGAATGAAGAAAGGAAGGTAGAACTGATGAGAAACTGGGAGAGAAGGAGGAACAAGGTGAATAATCAAGTGATCACTGGTTGGGTCTCTTCACCCAGACTTCTCCCCAGAGCTGCCACTCACGCCCTTGTTGCCCTGGCAACTCTGTCTCCTGGTAACTTCAAAGTGGTGCTGTTGCCAGGAGACCCAGGGGCAGGGCCGAACTGAGATTTCCAGGGCTTTCTCTCTCCCTCTGGGGCCAGAACACAGCTCCACAACATCCCCCAATACACCCACTCACAAAGCCGCGTACCCCCACATCCCTCTACAAATACATAGACACACACACACACACACACACACACACACACACACACACGGCATCTCTGCATATATATTCACTTCCAGAATCCCCATCACTCACATGCTCACAGCCATGTCCTATCCTGACACAACGCATCCCATACACACTCTTTCCCACATTCATGCCCCCACACCCTTTCCCTTGCACGCATACAAAAACACACTCTGATATAACCATACCATTGTCACCACACACACACACACACACACACACACGAGGCATGCTGTTACATTCCCCTGTCAAATGCACAACCTCAGCCCCATGGTTCGCCTTACTTTGCAACACTCTAAATACACAAGCACCCAGTAGTGACACCCGAATCACACAGTTCCACACAGTTATATACATGGGAGTATGCCCAACACAGCCCCATTTCAAGTCCTTTGCACTTGCTGTTCCATTGCCTAGAGCACTCAGCTCCCAGATATCTATCCCTAGTTGTTTTCATTCCATTCAGATCTCTGCTCAAATATCACCTACTTAGGCTTTCCCTGACCACTTGTGTAAAGTCACACACCCTTCACTCTTTAATTGCTTATTCATCTGTATTTCTCTTCAAATAACTTATCACTTCCAATCTTATGTATTTATTTTATTGCCTCTCTCCCCACTAGTATGTCAGCTCCACCAGGGAAGGGTCCCTCTTTCTTTCACTACTGGGTCCCCAGCTCCTAGAACAGTACCTGGCGCAGAGTAGGTGCTCCTAAATGTAGCTGAGTGAGTATATAGTCAGAGATGCAGACATTAGGTGTATCTCTTATGCACACGGTACTTCTTTCCCTCCCTTCTTAGGATCCCACCTTCATGTCCTGACAGAAGGACTCTTACCTTAGAGGGGCTCCCTGGAGGAGGCAGGACCGCAGGGTGAGGGAACAGGGAGGTGGAGAGCTCAGGGTCAGTCTGTGTTCCTCCCTGGTTTATCAGCATCCTCAAGTGATTAGTTCATTCATTTGGCAAACACTTCTTGAGCACCTACTTTGTGCCCGGCCCTGACCTAGGAGGCACAGGTGTTCAGCGGTGAACAGACAACAAAATCTCTGTCCTGGTGGAACTGACATCCTAGCGAGGGAAGAGATAATGAAGAGTTTAAATAGTCTATGGGCAGATGATAAGTGTGTGCAAAAAAAGAAAAGAAAGTTTGCACAGGGAAGGGAAGGGTCAATTGTTTGTTTGGTTTTTGCAATTTTGAATAGGGTGGTAGGGGCAGGCCTCCCTGAGAAGGTAATACTTGAGGAAAGGCTTGAAGGAGTTGAGAGAGGGAACTGTGTAGCTATGTAGGGGAAGAGCATTCCAGGTGGAGGCACCTTCAAGTGCAAAGGCCTGGGGTCACTGGGAGAACTTTGGTTTTTACATAGAGTGCCATGAAGAGCCAACAGAGGGTTTGAGCACAAGAGGGTCATGGTCTAACTTACATTATAAGTCAGAGCTCAGTTTTTTAAATAAATTTATTTATTTATTTTTGGCTGCATTGGATCTTCTTTGCTGTGGGCGGGCTTTCTCTAGCTTAGGCGAGCAGCGGCCACTCTTTGTTGCAGTGAGTAGGGTTCTCACTGCAGTGGCTTCTCGTAGTGGAGCATGGGCTCTAGGCACGTGGGGTCAGTAGTTGCAGTGCGTGGGCTCTAGAGTACAGGCTCCGTAGTTGTGGTGAACGGGCTTAGTTACTCCGCGGCATGTGGAATCTTCCTGGACCAGGGCTTGAACACATGTCGCCTGCACTGGCAGGTGGATTCTTAACCAGTGAGCCACCAGGGAAGCCCGGAGCTCAGTTTTGATCGAGTTGAGCTTGAGAGACTGTGAGACTTACTGGGGCATGTTGAGAAGGCTTTTTTTTTTTTAATTAGAGGATTTTTAAAAATAAATTTATTTATTTTATTTATTTTTGGCTGCATTGGGTCTTCGTTGCTGCACATGGGCTTTCTCTAGTTGCGGCGAGCGGGGACTACTCTTCGTTGCATTTCGCAGGCTTCTCATTGTGGTGGCTTCTCTTGTTGCAGAGCATGGGCTCTAGGTGCACGGGCTTCAGTAGTGTGGCACACGGGCTCAGTAGTGGCTCGCGGGCTCTAGAGCGCAGGCTCAGTAGTTGTGGCACACGGGTTTAGTTGCTCTGCGGCATGTGGGATCTTCCCGGACCAGGGCTTGAACCCGCGCCCCCTGCAGTGGAAGCACGGAGTCTTAACCACTGGACCACCGGGGAAGCCCTCAAGAAGCCTTTTGAATAAGCAAGCAGATCTTAGTCTGGATTTTCTTTCTTTTTTAAAAAAATGTTTATTTATTTATTTATTTTGGCTGTACTGGGTCTTAGTTGCAGCACGCGGGATCTTCGTTGTGGCATGTGGGATCTTTAGTTGTGGCATGTGGACTTCTTAGTTGCGGCATGCATGCAGGATCTAATTCCCCGACCAGGGATCGAACCCGACCTCCCTGCATTGGGAGCATGGAGTCTTACCCACTGGACCACCAGGGAAGTCCCTTAGTCTGAACTTTCTACCTAAAATTATCCACCCTGGGATGGGGGTGTGTGCAAGGCCAGGGCTGCTGTCTCCAACCTCTCTAGCGGTCCCAGACACTTCTTTGTGTCTGGCAGCCCCGCCTTTACCCTTTCTTGGCCTCCGCTTAACATCAGGACCACGGACAGTGCCAACCGGGTTGCGGTAGGGCGCTGTCCATTGTGCTGAAGTTTTGCTTCTTTCCTGCCCGCATGGAGGGAGCTGTGCGTCTGGAGGGACCACGGGCCTCAGGGGTGCAAGCCCTGGAAATAGAAGCTCTGGGCGGTGAAGCAGGGGGCTCCATGATTCTGTTCCTCCTCTGCCTGCAGCCCTCTCAGGCGTCCAACTCATTCCCTGCAGCCCTCAATCCACCCCACCACCTCCTCCCCCTCCGTCTCCCTGTCGCCTGCTCAGCTCCAACCGCACAGGTGTCCTCACTGTTCCCCAAACACAGCCGGCACGTTGCCACTTCAGGGCCCTCATTCTTGCTGTTCCCTCTGCCTGGAACGCTCCCCTTGCTCCACACTGTGGATACTTGCATGGCTCCCTTCCCTCCCTCCTTCACACCTCATCTCCAGTGCCAACTCCTCAGAAAGAACTTCCCTGACCACCCTCTTTAAATTGCAAGCTGTGTCCCCATCCCAGAGTTGTCCCATTGTCTTCTCTAGCTTGAGTTTTCTCTGTCACTTATCATTCTAACATATCAGCGATCTCAATCCCTGACCTAAATCCTTGATCCTACAGTTTAGAATTCAGAATTTTTCAGATTTTCAAAAGGTACTACGGTGCAAATACTATGCACTGAATAACACTCCTAGTTGGACCTGGGATAACATTCTAAGTCGAACACTTTATCTGCAGCAAGACGTAAGAATAGTCTCATAAAGTTAAATAAAGAAAAGCTATAATAACCTATGTCAGTTCAGGTCAGGTTTTGCCACAAATGAGAAACAAATTTTGGTTTCCGGACCTTCTTGAAATTTGGAATTGTGGTTTTGTGTATAGCTTATTTATCTTGTTTATTGTCTCTCAGGTGTTAGGAAGTGAGCTCCATGAGGGCAGGATTTTGTGTCTGTTCTGCTCACTGCTGCAGCCCCTGTGCCTAACTAAACAGCACCTGACACTCTGGTGTGGGGGGGTGCTCCATAGTGTTCGCTGAATGAATAAATGGATGGATGGATGAATAAACGAGAAAGAAAGGAAAGCAGACTCCCCTTTCCTGGTTTCTGGATGACTCCGTACCCTGAATGGCCTGTCTGAAGTCCCTATGAGCCACAGCGTGTGTCGGGGGGGAGGTGGTCTGTGGCTCCGTGTCCCTCCTACCTTCCCTGGTCTCTGCTGGGTCCTCAGGGATTGGTTCTCAGCAGAACCTCATAATCAGAACCCCTGCTCAAATACATGTAGTCAGGGATTCAGCTTGGAGGTTCCTACAGCCTCCAGCATCCCCTTCTATTAGAACCCTTAGGGTCCCCTCACCCGATTCCCTGTGCCCTCTGCACCCTGGCCGTGGTCAGAAACAGGCCAGCTGCCTGGGGAAGGCAGTCATTATGAGGCCCCTCACCGTGTGTTTGTGTGCCTTACATGCGGCTTGTAGGGCTGTTCGAATTTGACATGAAGAAACAAGGGCACAGAGAGGTTAATTAACTTTCCTGAGGCCACACAGCCAGGAAATGCTGAGCCAGGATTTAAAGCCAAGTCACGGACCCCACAGCCCCATGCTGCCTCTCCACAATCGTCCCGTGACAATACACTCACACCTAGACCCAAAATTAAAGTCCTCCACACCCTGCCACCTGGGGGAGGAAGGCAGGTGGCCAAACTTCTGTTACAAACAGGTCTTTATTAAAGATGAGGAGGGGGCAGGAAAAGGGGGCAGTGTCTCCCCTGCCCACTGCCTTTGGCTGCTTGGGGCGGGGAGCCGTCTTTGCTCCACCTGTGCCCCTATGACGGCACATCTGTACGAGGCTGAGGCATGGGGGGCAGTGTGAAGAACGGGGGGGTGGTTCTAAGAAAAAAAAAACTCCTTCCCCACAGCCCTAATAAATAACAGAAGAGTTTGGGGTGACCTGGGCACAGGCAAGGAAGGATGCAGCACCCTGAACCTCAAAACCTCTGAAGTGGGGCAAGCCCTGCATAAGTTGGGAGTTAGGAGGGACTGGGTGAGAGACTGCATATGAGGGAGGGGCTGAGAGAGGAAGGGGTACCCCAAGGACCCTGCCACGGGGGAGCCTGCCCCCCACCCTCCAGTTGGACTCTCTGATTCTGAGGAGAGAGGACCCGATGACAAAAGATGACCCCATCTCCCTCCTCTACTTTGCACATGCTTAGACATGGGCGGTCCCCCATTGACTGGAATCATACCCACCCACCCTAGAAATTCTGAGAACCAAGGACTCCTATTCATTGTTCAGACGCTGAACACTGGCTAGAGTTGCCCTCTTGCCTGAGGATTCTAAGAAATGATGGGGAGGCTCTTATTGGCTGGAGTAAACTCCTTTTGGCCAGAATTCTGAGAACTGGGGGGCTCCCATTGGCTAGGCAATGGCCAGTGGAGTCAGGCTTTGGCCCTTAAAAGGGCAATCCTAGGAGGCAAGGACCCATCTCCCAATTATGCCCACTTAGATGTCCCAGAGGGCAAGAGAGGCAGGGGGTCCCCTAGATGTCCTTCCAGCCATGCTCTGATGTCTGGGCCTGGCTGGTTTGGGGACAAGGGCTTTGGCACTCACACAGCACACGCACACACACGCGTGGCAGGGAAGAAATGGGGACTGGGCAGATTCTGGGTATGTGTTGGGCCTCACAGCAGGTGGTCACGGCTGGCAAACAGGTAAGGGCTGAAGTTGTCCCGGTGGAAGGGGGAGGGATAGAGTCCACTAAGGGTGTACAGGTCCCGCAGCAGGGGTGTGGGCAGCAGCAGCTTCCGGCCACGGCCACCACCCCCACCCGGCCCCCCAGGCCCAGGGGAGGAGGGCGAGGGGCCCTGGCTGGGGGTTTGTGCGGGTAGGGGCAGGGGCAGAGGCAAGGGTGTTGGCTCAGACCTCAATCGAGGGCGGGGCACACGGGGTGATGAACACATGGCTGGAGCCCTGGAGGACACGCAGCTGGGGATCAGGTGGCCACGGTGGGCGCAGTTCTGCGGCTCTAGGGATCAGAAGTCAGGGGGTTAGAAAGCTTGGGAGGGGTCATGAGAGCACAGGTGAGACCTCTGTGGCAGTGATCGCCATCTGGAAGTCCCCCCGTTTATCCTCCCACTCCCTCGACACTCACTGGATGGGGTGAGCCGTGCCGGTGTCGAATGCGGCCTGCAGGCCTCGGGTTCCTGAGACAAAGAGGCAGAGGGAAGGGGCTAGCGGCCCCCTGGGCCCCACTGGCCAGAGCCACAAGGGGCTCATCGGGCAGAGAGCCCAATGGAAAAGACAACAAGTTTTCAGGATTAACCATGTTCCCTTGGGAGGGAGGGGGTGGCCCGCCCTTGCATCCTGTGGGACGGTCCCCCCAGGACCTAGGTCCACAGAGGGGAGTGATCCCTCTACCTCTCCATGGCCCTGAGACCCCCACTGCCTGCCTGACTTCCTGCCTCCTTTGTCCTCCTCCACCCACCACCCTCTCCAGCCGGGAGCAGCCCCCGGCCCCCCTTACCTGGGCCACACTTAACTTTTCGAGGCGGCTGTCCATGGTGGGGGTTTGGCCCAGGTCCTCCCAAGGGGAGAGCCTTCGGCCAGAGGGTGGCCGGCTCTGGAAGTTGTGCACGACACAGGTGACCTGTGACAGAGGGAGGGGGCACGCTGAGGCCTGAGGCCAATAAAGTAAATTACCATCCCCATTTTTCAGATAAGGATACTGAGGCCCAGGATTTCAAAAACAGCTAACACTTTTATGGTGCTTACTATGTGCCAAACACTGCTCTTTCCACTTTACTAAGAGATAGGTACTATTATGACTTATTCCACACGGGGAGGCAGGTAAGGCCGAGTTGTGTAAGAGGATCTGATCCTGTCCTTATTTAAACCTTTGGTATTTTGGACATTATGGGTTTTTGCATTAATTTTGATTTTTAAAAATGTTTCACTACAATATTATTTATCTTGTTTACTGAGTGTTTTGGCTCCTCCTTAAATTTTGTGCTCAAAACGAGGGCCTCACTCGCCTTACCTTGGTCCCAGTCCCGTTATCCCAGTTCACAGATGAGAACGTCCAAGCTAGGTAAGGTTAAGGGACTTGCCCAAGGTACAGAGTCCACACCCTTCACCATCATGCAGTCCTGCCTCTTGAGTCAGGGATGGATGGCAAGGGGGCTCACCAGAAACGTGGCGATCGCCGCCCCTGTCAGGAAGCCGGCCAGCACGTCAGACCAGTGGTTGCGGTACTCAGCCACGCGGACCACGCCCACCAGGAAGGCGGGGCACAGCAGGGCCAGGCAGAGTGAGGGTTTGACCAGGCGGGAGCCCTTCACGCGGAACACGAGCGTCACGTACATCTGCAGGAGCCGGATGGGTCAGAGGACACATGGCAGCAGCAGTTCCCAAACCCAAGCGGACACTACATTCAGGGATAGGGGGTGTGGCCAGAATCCTGAGAAGCCGCAATGGGACTGGAGGCACCAGCCAGGGGCTCCAGGGAACAGAGCCCGGGGGACAGGAGTTCAGGGGATGGAGTCATGGACCCCCAGTGGGCCTTTGCAGGGATGGGGGTGTGTGTGGCCTGAGCACCAAAGAGCAGTGGATAGGGTCTGGGGCCCAGGTCTCTGGGGGACCTGGGCCCCAGGTCCAGGTGGGATGGGGAAGGAACCTCCACCATGACTGCTTGCTGGCTTAGGGTGTGGCCACAAAGTCAGAGGGTGGAGTCAGGGCTCAAGTGACAGGTCCAGGAGCTCCAGGAGGTGGAGTCCCCAAACCCCTGGGGACCACTGACAGGGTTAGAAGCACAGTCCCCAATGCCAGAAAAAGGAGTCAAAGCAACAGAGGGTGCGACCAGGGAAAGACAGGGGACAGAGTCAGGAAGTTCCAGTGAAGTCGAGTCAGGAGCGTGGCCAGGCCAATAAAGGGCGAGGACAAACTGGAGGGCAAGGGCTCCAGGGGATGGAGTTGAAAGCCCATTACCGAGTCACCTCCAGGACCTGTAGCACGGCGGAGACTTGGCCAGGCTTCAGGGTGCTGAGCCAATAGCCTCCTTTGGGTGTGGCCTTAGTGGGTCAGGAGGCGTGGCCAGGGTCCAAGGGGGCGTGGCCAGGGTCCAAGGGGAGGAGTGGGAGCCTCCGCCCTAGGGATGGTGTCACAGTGATGCGTGGCCTCACTCGGGGAGGGATTGGAGGCTCCAGCCCAGACGGTCTCCTGCCCGCTGGCCGCCCCCTTACTGCCGTGCCCCCGTTTCGGGGCTCACCGCTGTGTAGGCGACGGCGTAGGCGCAAAGGGCAGCGTCCTTGCAGGGGAAAGCGCGGCGCGCAGCGGCCACAAGGCTGGGGCTGCCAGCACAGGCACCCTGGTCAGTGACGAAACGGTTGGGCCCTGGCCGGTCCGGTGAGGGTGGCGGGCAGCCCAGGGCCGTATAGTTGGGGCGGCACACGGACAGGAAGTGCGGCGTCGGGTTGCCGGTCACCACCTGCCCTGCGTTGGCGAAGATGGTCGTGGTGAAGAGGCCGAAAGAGTAGACCCCTGGGATGGGATAGGAAAGGGGGTTCATGCCAGGGCCCAGCAGCCGTCCTCCTGTGAGCCCCCTTATGGCTCACATAGGCCCCTGTCTCCTTGTTCCTGTGACTGACATTAAAGCACAGCTGGGACTCCCCCTAACACCACACCCCATAATAGCTGGGCCATGTTCCTCTTCCTTTGGGACCACCATGATGGCATTCTGGGCCTCTGGCCTCTGTCCCTCCGGGATTACCAATATGCCAGGAGTGGGCCCTCCTCTGGAATCCATTATAGCTGGACTAGGACCCCTCAACAGCACTACATCAGGATTGGGCCCATGCCAGGGACCTCCTAGGACCACCGTGATGGCATTTCTGGGGCTCCTATACCTGCCCCTGGACTCGCTATTGCTGAGCTGAGCACTTTTCTCCTGGAGCACCACTCAGCCAGGGCTGGATCTCCAGCCCTCTGCCACAGGGACCACCATTTTGGATGAGCTCTGCCCTACCCCAAGGCTACCAACTATGGCTGGGACCATATTCAAAGTGCAGCCAGCGTTCTCATCTCCCTGCCCCCAGGGCCCCCTGGTGTCTGTCCTGTGCTTTTTCTGCCTGAGACTCTCCTTGTGGCAATTTGGGGCCCTCCTCTTATAGTTGTCATCAAGGTTGGCTTAGGCCCCACCCATGTCTCTAGAACCTCCACCATGACTGACCTCAGCCCACATCCCTCTTTTCCCATGAAGTCACCATCATAGCAATTCTAGGCCTTCCCCCCCTCGAATTCTTATTATACCTGAGCCTGGCCCATAGCCCTTTTGCATGGCTGACCCCTGACCGAGTCACTCACCCAGGAAGCGGACCAGCCTCCGCAGCGGGGGGCTGAAGCGGCAGCAGGCCCCAGACACGATGGTTCTCTCCCCAATGACTGGGATGGCTGACGGTGGTGCAGGGAAAAAGGCACGTGCCAGCTCCCCAAGCAGGATCTGTGGGCAAGACCAAGGCATGGTCTTCCTGGCCTTCAAGCCCAGCCCTCCACCCATCTCCACCTGGCCCTCCTGCCTCCTGGAAGGCCCTTCCCACAGTCTGAGCCAGGTTACCCCCAGTCTCACCGTGAGGGTGGGCCCAGCGGTGACCAGGGCGTAGATGAGGGCCGGGGGTGCTCTGCTGGCAGCCTCAGGCCCTGGGTAGGGCTTGGCATAGGTACTGTCATAGCAGAAGAAGCCCTGGGTGTGCACGGGGAAGGTGTCCGTGAACTCCAGGCGGTAAGCAAGCAGGACCACGATGCCCAGCAGCACCGACTGCCGCCCAGCCAGGGTGGGGAGAGAGACAGAGTAAGAACAGAGAGGGTCAGGCCTGAGCTGGGCCACGGAGATGGAGACACAGAGATGGAGACAGAGACAAGGGGGAGAGATAGAGAGAGAGATGAAGAGGAGAGAGGAGATGGGACTGGGAAGAGGGAGAGAGGACAGGGCCAGAGCTCAGAGAGAGAGAGATAGTGGGTAGTGGAGGAACAAACCAACAGAGAAAGAAAAAATACTACTGATAGAAATACTAGAGTTACCACAGGTGTAACTCTTATTGTGGGCAGGGCATCATACTAAACCTCTTCCATGAATTAATCCATTTTACTTTCCTAACAGTCCTAGGAGAGAGGGACTGTAATTATGCCCATTTGACAGATGAGGAAACAGGCTTGGGAGGGTAAGTGAGGTGCCCAGAGTCCCACAGTAATGATGGGCAGAGCTGGGTTGAATCCCGGATTGCCACTTCCGAAAGTGCCTCCTCCCCCTTGAGGGTCTGGGCAGGGGAGGTACTGTGTGCCTCACCTCCACAAAGACAAAGCAGGGAATGATGGAGAAACTCCTCTTCAGCTGAGGTCTCCCTCCCGCCATGGTGAAGGCCGGGCCTGTGGAGAAGGGGAGGGAGTGGCACTGCCAGGGTGGGGCCTAAGGGGAGGTTCAGGTCACCTGCTTGTGGAGTCTTCTGGCCACAACCTGGCCCCCATCCCTGGCCCCTCGGACTACAGCCAAGGAGCCCTGGCTCCGCCCCCTGAGCCTTCTGGCCACGCCTCTGCATATGCAGGTCTTGCCCTGCCCCTGCCCCTGCCCCTGCCCACTGGAGGCACCAGCCTCCCCTGACACAACCTGCTCAGCTCAGCCTCTGCTGGGGTCCCCACAGATTGTATAGTGGTCTTCTCCCCCAACAGCCTACACAGGAGATTCTGACCCCATACCTTTTAGGAGGGCCTGGCCTCCTTAGCATGTGGGACCCATGCCCTTGGCCTTTAGCAGAGACTTCTCCAGCTAATGTGGACCCCTCCCTCACAAAGAAGGGTCCTCACCCCCACTAGTTTTTAGGAGACCCCATACTCTTTCCCCACATGCTTTACAGGAGACCCCATGTTCCCTGTCACCCACCCCCACCAAGCCCCTCCCCCTATACCACTTCCCACATGGCCCTCAGGGGCCTCCCTCTCCTGTCCCCATGGGCTGTGCCTGACTGGTTCGGGCTGATGGCCAGGCCCTCCTTCTCTCCCAGCTGCCTCTCCCTCTCTCCCTCCTTCCCCCTCCTCCCAGCCCGTCTGCCTTCCTGTATCAAGAGAGGGCTATCTCCCCCTCAATGTGCTCTCCCCTCCCCACAGTCCAACCTCAGTCCCCAGCACTGAGAGGCCAACGCAGTCACACCTGCTTGACCCATTCTCCCAGCCTAACCTCACCTGTGAAAGGGCCCTATGACTTCCTGCAGGCCGCTGCCACGCCCACAGACTCACAGCCACTCCTGGCGGCCAGCAGGGCAGGGATGGTCACCCCCATTGCACAGATTTGGAAACTGAGGCCCAGGCAGGTAAGGGTAGGCACTCTGGGTCCAGTGCCCCATCCACATGGCTTGCCCTGCAATGTGACATGTGGGGGTGAGGGTCACCAGAGAGCCCAGATGCCCAAGATGCCCACTTGGCCATGGCCCCCTCACCTTCTTAGAGACACAAACACACACCGGCACCCCCAGAGTACACAAGTCAGCCAGAGCTTCCATCCCAAACACCACACACACACACACACACACACACACACACACCATCGCACAGCACTCATTCATCCCACCAACAAGCATCAAGGGCCTGCTGGGTTCCAGGCCCTGTGCTGGGTGCCAGTCTTGTGGTGAACAAGACAGGCTCGCTCATTCAGACAGGTGCCCCACACCCACTACACACATAGCTGCACACACACACACAGCACAGTGTGCACACGGCCTGGCACAGACACCCACACAGATCAAACAAATGTCCCCACACACACGGTCACTGGGACACAACAGGAGGTCCTTCACACACCTCACAGCCTCACACCCAGCCCTCACTCCACCACCGTCAGGGACAGACTCGAGGCTGCCAACACACTTAAGAGCCACATCAAAAAAAGAGAGTCACCACACACAGTGTGTGTGGGGGGGTCACAGAACTGGTCACAGCGTCACGCCCCCAATTACAAGGCACAGGATGACACACATTAACAGTCTCTCATCCACACTGACAGTCCTAGGAGCGCCCTGTGCCATCCACAACCGCAGCCACATGGCCACACGAGGGCACAGACATGGACCACGGCACAGACCCGCACACAGAGCCACACAGGAAAGGCACATGATCACAGCCACACACTGGAACACAATAACGGCCCCCCACCACCACCATCAGAAGGAACACACAGCAGCAGCCACACAATGACAGTCACATGCACACAACCATACAGACACCGAGCCAGCCACACAATCACTGTGACAGCAGTCACACAGCCACTCAAAGGCGACCCCGACAACACAGCCACCACACACTCACCATCCGAGTGATACCCACGGCGACAGCCGCAAATGACAGCCACAGGAGACACAGTCACAGAGACACCACACAGACACCCCTGAAGCCACACGATCTCTCATACAGCCACACACTGACACATAACGACAACCACACAATCACCGTCAGCCTCACCAGGGTCGCCTCCCCATCTTCCCCTCCCCCAGCCCGGTCCCCAAGCCTCAGCTCGCAGCCTCCCCTCCCCCTCCCCGCGCTGGACCCGCAGGGGACCCGACCCACAGGAACCGAACCCTGGCCAGACAGACCGAGGGTCGGAAGCAGGCGAGAAGGGGTACAGGGGGCTCCCCAAGGCCCTCCCCCTCACCGGGTCTAGACTGCCGCCGCCTGAGCCCCGGATCCACCTAGACGGCCCCGGCGCGGCGGGACTGACAGACAGACAGCCGGCCAGAGACCGAACGCAGAGATGGAGACGCCGTCGGCCGGCCGGGCCGCGCCGCGCCGCGCCGCGCCGCGCAGCGCAGACTCCGCGGCGGGGAGAGGGGCGGGGCCTCCGGGAGCATTATTTGCATAACCAGTGAGGCGGGGCCTCGCGGAGTCTCATTAGCGTGATCCGGGGCGGGGCCTCTGTTGCTCTTCGGGTCAGGGCGTTTTAGAATAGATTCGGGAGGGAATGAAGGTTGGAGGTTGGGAGGGAGGACCCTGGTGGGTGCTGAGAGGAAGAGGAGGGTGGGGTGTCAGAGCGTGATCCCGGGCCGAAACCCTGGGCGGAGATGAGAATGATCTCCCCACACACACCCTGGAGTGCTGCTCAACCCCCCTCACCCCTGAGGCTCGGGGCTCTAGGGTGGCGCCCTGAGGATATGGCGAGGCCATCAAAGGAGTTCTGCAGCAGGTGCACAGCCGACCTGGGGGGAGATGGTGATCTTGGGGTCCCGGGGGACTCTGGACTGCTCAGAGCTGGGGCAGGGAGGCCATGGTGGGGGCAGGGGCGGAGATGAGTCCTGGGAGGAGAGGGACTCAGGTGGGTTCCAGGTTCTGGTGGTCGCTGCTTGATCTTATTAGGAGGAACGCAGGGCAGATGAGGGTCAGGGGCCTCATTTGGGCAGTAGGGACATCAGGCCAGATCGCCAAGGGCCTATCTGGCCACTCGTATCTAGACAGACTTACCCCTGACCTTGTCATATACTAAATCCAGCCTCACACTGTCCCCTGACCCTAGGCCCACATATCCCGAACAGTCCCTGGGGTCTCCACACCCTCCCCAAGACTGGGTAGTAAACTGTGGGGGTCACTCTGAGGCACAGGAAGCAGCCAGGAGCAGCAGTCCACAGGTGGAGGAGGGTCTCAGCTAGTTTATTTTCTCTCTGGAGGGGTCTTCAGGGAGAGCAGTCCCAGCTGCTCAGGCTGTGGAGAAAGAGGGTGGGTCAGAGGCTGGCCTGGTCCAGGGGACCCCAGGGCTGGAGGTCAGGGAGCAGATGCCCAGGTTGGGAGTTGGAAGGGCGTGTACTTCGGGATTCCAGGGCAGGCCAGGAGGGGAAGGGTAGGTTGGGGCAGGGGAGGATCCACACCAGGTGGGAAGGAGCAGCTCTTGCTGAGTGGTGGCTGGGAAGGGTCCTGGTCTGAGTCCGAGTCCGAGTCCCAGGAGGGGCGTGGCGGGCTCAGGCATCAGTGCCCCTTGTAGCCAGCAGGAGGGACAGGTGCAATTCTGGCCCAAACCCTGAATGTGACCCTCGAGTGGCCTTTGAATATGGGCCCAGTGCCCTTGATATTATGTGATCCTTGATTATGTCCCTTGAATGTGACCCAACATGACACCAAAGTATGACCTCGATGACACCTGAATTTTACCCCACTGACCCTTAAAAAAGATCACAGTGACCCTGAGTGACCCCTGAATGAAACCTCCAGGGACTCTTTAATGTCACCCCAGAACATTATTTAATGTGACCCCAGAATAAGACCCAACAGACCCAACCACCCCCAACTATGGCCTCTGAACATGACCTCCATGTGTGAAGCTGGAGAATGAACCTCCCCCACCCCTGGAGTGCTGCTCAACCCCACTCACCCCTGAGGCTCGCAGCCCTGGGGCGGCCCCCTGAGTATATGGCGAGGCCACCAAAGGAGTTCTGCAGCAGGTGCACAGCGGGCCTGTGGGGAGATGGGGATCTGGGGGCCCCGGGGGGCGACTCTGGACTGCTCAAAGCTGGGGCAGGGAGGCCATGGTGGGGGCAGGGGCGGAGATGAGTCCTGGGAGGAGAGGGAGATGTGGACTCAGGTGCGTTCCAGGTTCTGGTGGCCGCTGCTTGATCTGATTGGGAGGAGCACAGGGCAGATGAGGGTCAGGGGTCAGAGGTTAGAGTGGGAGCTGGGCATCACCATATGTCACCCAGATCCTTCTGGAGGTCATCCCTCCAGGAGTCACTGCCTCCTGGTGGCAACTCCTCAGTCTCTGGCCAGTTGGATGTCTCATACCCATGCTGCTTCATTTTGGTCAGGACCTGAGGCCGGGGGAGATGGGGGGATAATAATAATAATGATGATGATGGTGAAACGTGTAATATAGCATTTATCACATTCCAGGCTGCCTTCAAAGTGCTTATCACTCAGTTAATGCAGCTACTTGGTCAGGTAGGGCTGTATTGTTACACCCATTATTCAGATGAGGAAACTGAGGCCCAGAGAGGGGAAGTGACTTGCCCACAGTTACACAGCAGTAAGAAGCAGAGCTGAGATTTGAACCCAGGCCTTCTTGCTCCAGTCTGATGGTGGAGGCCGGCAGAGATCCCCATAACCCCAACTCACGCAAGGTCCCGTGCTCTCTGCTCACCTTGCGGCGCTTCACCTGTGTCTTTTGCATCTTCTGGATGTTCACCAGGTTCTCCGTAATCTCCTCTTCCTGCGCCTCTGTAGGGGGAGGGGACTCAGGTGGGCCAGAGCTGCAGAAGGACCCCCCGCCCTCCTGGTCATGGGCTTTGGGCACTCACGTAGCTTTTGATAAATGAAGGTCACCTCCTCCTGCACCAGCTCCAGCTCCTCCCACAAGAACTTCTTGCTGAGGGGACAGTGCAGCCTCTGGCCTCCCATTTCCTGACCTCTTGGCTTCCCATTTGCCCACCTGCCTCCCCAAAGCCTCCTCCACCTCCCATGTTTCTATCTGTTCAACTACCATCTCCCAGGCTCTGTCCCCTCCCCATACCTGCCTACCCACCTGTCCGCTCCTACTACTATTCCCCCACCTCCTACCCCTCCCTAGCCCCGTGTCCTCTCCTTCTGACCTCCAGCCTCCCATTCCCTCAGCCCCCCCCATTGCCTGGCTTCCAGCTCCCCACCTTCTGCCCCCCCAGACCTCCAATACCCCCAGCCTCTGCCCCCCTCAACCTCCTCTACCCTCCAGCTTCCCATGCCACCGCCACCAGCTTTCTGATCCTCCAGCCTCCCTTTCCATCCCACCTCCTGTCTCCCCTATTTCTGGCCTCCCAGTCTCCCCCCCCCCCCCCCCCCCCCCCCCCCCCCCCCCCCCCCTCTGCCTCCCCCCTCCCCTCCTCTTGTCCCCCAAGATTTCCAAGGCCCCCCAGACTCCCTTACTCAGGCCCCTCCCATTTCCCCCATCCCACCTGTGGTTCCCTCTCCCTGGCCTCCCTTCCCTCCCTTCCCTCCCTCCTGGCAATACCCACCTGTCCCGGATCTCCTGCGCCAACAGCTGTAGACAGCGGGTGGTACGGGCCCTCTGCACCTCCTCGTTGTCATACAGGGTCTTCTGCAGCCCCTGCAGGCCTTTAGCCAGGGCCTCATATAGCTCCTGCCGTCCCTCCTCCACGTCCCACTTGTGTCTCTCCTTGTCTGCCTGGCGGCTGGTGGGGCCAGCACCTCTACAGAGATGGTGGGACCTTGGCTGAGCCCCACCCACACCCTGAGCCCAGCTTTGAACCCAGCTTGCCCCCACCCTGACCAGACTCTGGTCCTGAACCCAGACTCAGCCACCTTCTCTCACCCTGGCCTGACTCAGCTGACCCTGAGAGGAGCAGCCTCCAGCCTTACCTTGACCTTTGGCCAGTTCTCACCTTCAAGCTGTTGGATCTTGATTTGCTGCAGGCATCTGTCCTTCAACACGGTCACTGAGTGGTTTAGGAACTCGAAAGCCTGGAGGAAGAGGCCAGGCCTGGGGGTGAGAGCAGAGGTGGAGTGGGGGGCGGGGCGGGGGAAACAACTGCTGGGGGCAGGGCTGAGGTGGCTCACCTTGGTCTGGGCCTGTAGCTGACACCTGAGTGACTCCAGTTCACATCTCAGAAGCTTCTGGGATTCGGGAATCATCACGGTGGACTTAATTGTGAGTAGAGGTGAGGGTCAGCCGAGGCTGGGAGGGGTGGGGGCAGGGGCAAGGTCAGGGCAGAGGTCAGTAGAGGCTCAGGGTCTGGTTGAGGGGGGACAGGGCAAGAAGCTGGGGTAGGCTGAGGCAGAGGTAGAGGCAGGAGTAGGGGTCAAGGTCAGGGACAGGGATGGTGGGTGAGGTCAGGGGTAAGGGTCAGCTGACAATGGGGCAGGGATGAGTGGGCAGCAACGGTGGGGGTCCACTGAGGCTGGGGCAGAGGGTGGAGGTAGGAACTGGCAGGTCTCCCACCCACAGTCTTGTTGAGCGGGAAGGTTCTCACCTTTGGTTTTGGAAGAGCTGGTCTCCCAGAGGTTCTATGAAAGGTGGGCATGAGAGCAGTAATAATCTATCCCTGGTCTGCCTCCTTGCTCACCCCAACCCAGTGTGTGGGGGCCAGACATGATTTGGGTCTGCTGAGTTCTGGGTGTCCTAGACCCCCAAGTGCAGGCAAAGCTGCCTCCAGGCATACGCATGCACCCCACCGCCACCCCCACCCCCACCTCTGCCCCAGCCTGAAAACACTCAGAAGTGCATTTGTGTGGCAGGCCCATGGGCTGCCCCTGAGAGCATGCGCCTTCAGAGCCACATCTCTGGTTGCGCTCAGGGAATGGCCCTCCTCCTTAGGGGCATCAACAATGTCTGCAAGGAGCACCAGTAGCCACTGACGCACAACCACACATGGTCATCAAAACACGACCACAGACACGCAGCCTCAGACGTAGCCGTGCACACTAAGTCATAAGACCCAGGGCATGCACTCATGCCCATCTCAGACACACAACCACAGACACACAGGCAGTCACATCCAGAGACAATCACAAACAGGACCTCATTAAGACACACAATCGCACATCCGTTCCATTCATTCAAGACATTTTTAGTGCAGGCCTGCTGCGCACTGGGCGCTGTTCGGGGTGCTGAAGACAGAGGGTGTGAGGGGTCTCGAGGAGGACTCTGCCCCCACAGCTCCCTCCCTAAGCCCTGCAGCGGTAGATAGCGGTGCGTGCGGCAGGAAGGGGTTTCCCGGGTGGGGATGACCTTAGTGTTGCTGTGATGCCTCTTTGGAGGGTCCTGGTCATTACAGTGCTTCTGTGAGTCTGAGTTGGGGAGGGACCCATGCGACTGAAGCCCCGAGTCTCTCCCTGGCCTCCAGGTTCCAATTGTCACTGTGTTTTCGGGTGCAGCCAGCTGCAAGGTCTCTGGCTCTGGGGTCCTGGACCAGTGAAATGTATATTCCAAGGTCTTTTCTGAGGAAGGGCCTGGGAGTGGGGTGTGTGGTGAAGGTTTCCTGAGAGCCAGCCCAGAGCACTCCAGCCCCTCCTGGTCTCCAGCCCCAGGGCAGCCGCTCAGCGAACGGCAGCACTTGTCACACTTCTCATTAGCAGGCAAACACACGTTGGAGGGTGACCGGAGGTGAGCAATAGCAAGGCACGGAGTAGTCAGGGTCCAGGGGTAGGCGGGCCAGAAGAGGGTTGCTTAGAGTAGGGGGGACAGAGGGCTGCACTGAGACCAGCTCCCAGGTCCTGACACTCTCATGCCCTCTCTGACACCCCAGAGAGGCCTCAGCCCTGAACATAGGCCTCTTATTTATGATAGGAGCCAAAGCTGGGTGAAAGATGATCCCAGCCCCAGGGGTTAGGATGGGCAGTGAGAAGGACCTAGAAGATCCCACAGGAGTCAGTGAGGTCTGAGACGAGCCTAAAAGAAAAAAAGATCTTAACATTGGGCCCTAAAGGAAGGACATCCCTGGCAGGAAACAGTGTGTGCAAAAACTTGGAAGTCTGCAACCAGGTGCTCTTTGCGGGTCAAGGCAGGGTGGCTGGAGGCAGGGTCCAAAAGGAAGCAGCAGGAGGTTAGCAGGGCCGTTCAAGCAAGGCAGGGCAAGCCAAGCCGGGGAACTGGCTCCCCAAGTAAATGGGAGACATAGAATGTGAGCAGGAGAGGCAGAGCATATCTATTTAATAAATGGTAGCTGAATGGGGTCCCAGGCCTGTACTAGGTGAGGCTGGAAACAGGAAAGAACTCAGTTCTGGGTCTCACATCCACACCCCCTGCCCTTCCAGTGTAGTCAGGGCTGGCACAGCTGGAGAAACCTGGGGGAGGTCTGTCTGGAAAAACTTCCAGGTGAAGGGCAACTTGCCATGGATCACAGTCAGCCAGAAAGGCCACAGTATACGCCTTTCTCTTCTTTTGCCCTTGCTGGGCCCTCTGGTATCTTTCCCCTAACCCAGTCCTCCTGGAAGACTCCTACATACCCTTCAAAACCCTACTCAGCATTGCCTCTGTAAAATCTTCCTTAATCCCTTTTTAAGCTCATATTTTCTGAGCATCTTGCTGAGTGCTGAGCACCACCCTAAGCCCTCACTGGGTGTTCACACCCACCCTGTGATGTAGGAGTTATTATTCTGCCTGAACTGTTCTAAGCTACCACTTCAAAAGTCACCGCCTCAGGGAGGTCCTCACTTCCAGAGGCAGTACAGCATGATGATTAAGCAAGGAGACCCTCCAGCTGGATGGCCCAGGTTCAAATCCTAGCTTTGCCCCTTCCCAGCTGTGCGATGTTGGAGGAGTTACTAAACCTCTCCATGCCTCATTGTCCCCAACTATAAAAATGGGATGTCATACTATCCACCTTACTGGGTTGTTGTGATTAAGTAAATTAATCCATGCCAGTGCCTGATATGCAGTAGTGGGAAGCTCAGTGTCTGTCCTTGAACATCACACTGAGGACTTGGTACTTGGGAATCATAGGAGCCCTGGGAGACTTGGAGGGGAAAGGCAAGATGCATTTCTGAGTGTCAATTGCAGGAAGGCCCCCAGTCGAGCCCCCCTCCCCCTCCCCCTCCCCCATCACCTGTTTTCCCTCAGTCCTTCCCGAAAGAATTCTTGAAGGAACGGGGCGGGGTCATTTGCCTGGGCCCCGCCCGCCGGGGCTTGAATCCTGCGCCCCGCCCGCCGGGGCCTTAAATCCTGCTCTCGCCAAGCTCCCGATCCCCTTCCACCCCCACCTACCACATACCACCTGCTCCTGCTCTCCCATCAGGGACCGCGAAGCCAGTCCCCAGCTGTGACGCTGAAATTTGATCCCGTGGAGACACCATCCTATTAAAACGCGCGGAGCCCAAAGGTATAGTCACAGAGAGGGGTGTGGCTGGCATTTTAGCCTCGCCCCCGCCGTTGCAGCCGAAGACCTCATTGGCGCCTTTCCGCTTCCGCAGATCTTAGGAGCCGCGGTGTAATTGGGTGAAATCCTGAGGCGTGGACGGGATTCCGTTCATCGATTAGTCAATATCTAAGAGGGCGGAACAGGAGGTACAGATCCCCGATCCGATTGGCTTCTGGCTTAGCTGGGAGGCGGGACGAATTCTTGGTCCCACGAGGGGAGGTGGCCGAGGAGGTCCGCGGGCACCGCGGAGCGCGAGAGTGAGGTACCAAGCCCTGCCCGCCTGACCCCCTTATATCCGGCCCTGGACTCTTGAGTGCTGCAGGTCGAGGCCCGGGTCCAGTGGTGGGGTCGGTGTCCTCGGGCCCGCCTGACCCCCTTAGATCCGGCCCCGGACTCTTGAGTG